GGGGGGGGGGGGGGGGTCTGTTTAGAAAAGATGTTCAAATAGCCTACTTCTAGTACTGAATCCAGAATCATCTTCAAATGTAAAGGAGGTAACACACAGATCGCCTGTGATGACAAGTTACAAGGTCAGCCAGTTTTAAGTTACATCTACATAAATTCTTCTGCTGTGAACTGTTGACTGATGTCTTTATAGGTGTTAACAGTTCATAAGAGTGTTTCCTTTATACCGTTTACCACCCAGCCTTGAGAACAGGAGAATAAACAAAGTGATATCTGTGAGGATGCTTTCAACTTCAAAAACAGAAATAACTATTCACAGTGGACTAACAGTCAAGTCCAGATGCTTCAGGCATGGTCTGATCAGAGCTCCAGCTCCATTCTTCCTTGGTTCTCTTAGCTCTGCCCTCCTCTACATGTTGGCTCAGCAAAACCGAAGCAGTCCGAGGCTTCATAGCTTTAAGCCCTCTTTGTCAAGGGAACAAAGGATTTCTCTTCCTCCAAGCTTCCTACCAAAACTGGGGCTTTTTTCTGATTGCATCCACTTATGCCATGTGCTCACCAAATCAATCACTGGCAAGGGGGATGGGGTTCCACTGATGGGCTTGGGCAAACCAAGACCCACCCTTGGAGCTGGGGGTCAGATCGGTCCTATCCAAAATGTTTGGCTGCTTCATAATGTGAGACAAGTTAAGATGTGCATGGGGAAGCAGCTGAAAATGTCTATCGCATGATTAAAAATTGCCCTGGGTAGTCTAACAGCCCCTAACAAGGACGGAAGATATCAGTCTTGTTTGTCATGTGTCACGTTTGCTATTGAAAGTGAGACTCACTGCTGTGTGCATCCCCAAACGCCCATACACAAGGAGGGACACCACCTACCAAACACACTTTATTTGTTACCTTTACAGTTAATAGTCAAGAACAAATAATAATAACAACAAATAAAAATAACTTGCAAGGGGACCAGACATCAGACATAAACAAGGACACTATTAACAGTAAAGAAAGCCTGTGCTGGGCGTGGCTCTGTGTGGGCGGGTGGCCGCTGCTGAGCGTCTGTCCCCAGGGAAGGCTGAGGCCTCCGCGAAGCATCTCTGGACTCTGTATTACAAGGCTGGACACCTGGATCGGGTCACAAGCTCTCTCTTTCATCAGCAGCAGAACAGAATGTCTGCAATTTCAAAGTGACTTCCAGCTCTTGCTCCTGGGGTTTTGTCTTCACTCTTGTACGTAGGCTCTGGGTCTCGGGTAGGACATAAGTGGGAGGAAATGTCCGTTCACTCATTGAGGAGGGGATCTGAGGACGAAGGTGATCATGCATGCCTGCCTTCATACTCATCCTCCAGGCCCAGACTCCTGCCTCTGTTCCTTCCACTCCTGGTTACATTTTTCTTTCTCCCTGCCTCTACCCGCTCCTGGCATTTCGACAACTTTAGAATGTACTCCATGGTGGACATTTCTAGTCTGGGCTTTCTAATTAACATCAAAAAGATCCTGGATTCCCAGTCACTTCTCCTCCAAAAAGCTGAGAGACAGGTCTTCTTTCTGTCTTCTTGGTATGAGACCAGGTCACAAGATCCTGGCAGGTCAAAAGTGATGAAATCCCGTGTTTGAGGGCTAGAAGTAGCATCCTATTTTAACTTGTGAGAGAATAAGCCCGAGAACCTTAAAAGATGGTAGTTCTTCCCACCCCTCCCTGGGATCTCCATACCTGATGTGTAAGAGTCTCTCAGAATTAGGTCACTGATCAGTAGGCTATCACAGTAACATTCTCCCAGGTGCAAACAATCCTGGGGAGCTTTCCTCTAGGTTGGACATGGTTATTGTTGCCAGGAAAAACAAAAACAGAAACCTAACCATTGTACTGATTGGACAAAATCAACTGCCTTACAAGTGCCAATCGCATCTATGTGCATTTAATTTCATAGGTACTTAGCAAACAAGCATTCACTACAGTCACAGCTTCCACTGAGAGAGGCTAGGTGCTGGGTGGCAGAGAAATACCAAAGGCCAAATCTTTGTGGCTGCTCACTTGTCCATTAGTCTTTCAGACACTCAAAGTAAAAGCTCATACACTGGGTTGAGGCCATGGACGGTCCCCAGTTTTTGCCATTCTAGACAAAAAGAGAGAAAGGGAGAGGGGGAGGGAAACTCTTAGAAAGGAACTATTGCAACAGCAACATATGAGAAAATTTAGATCAATAAATTATTAACATTACTTGAACAGTATTATTCAAGTTAGAATAGTCACTGGACTAGGTTTTTATACATATTAGCTTGTTTTTTATCCTGTGAGATAGGCTTTATTTTGTCCATTTCATAGATGAGAAAACAAACCTAGAGAAGTCAAATAACTTGTCAAAGATCACACAGCTAGTACTAGTAACAAAAGATGCAAGGCATCAAACTCAGGTCTGACTCTAAATCCCATGCTTATTCTACCTCTAAAGGATTCTCTTTAGAGATTATGCTTAAAGTAAAGGCTCCCTGCATAAGGAGGAAAGGAGGTTTTACTGAGTTTGCTGGTTAGGGTTCACCTTGGTGGGAGGGCAGCAGACACTCCCATAGGATGCTCGTTCTTGGCTAGACCACGTGTCTGACCCAACATGGCACCTTCTTGTACAAGTCAACTGCTTGCACATACATTTACCGTTCAGACTTCCATGACTAAAGAAAACTTTATGTGCAAAACAAATCATGGGATTTCAAAATAGAGATAAGGCAAGTTTTCCCAGAATGTCCCTAGAACATTAAGATCCTTGGAGGCAGTGTGCTCACCTGGGCAGTCTGTAGAAGTGTAATGTCCACAGAGAATGCGGAGTCTATGCTCCCCTTCCTCAGCCCCCTCTGCCATCCTCCCGTGTCCTCCTCTTCCTTTATCCTCTTTATAATCTACTCTTCTGGGTAGGCCTCACTCACACCCCTCCCTCTTTCCCTTCCTCCCCTATTGTTCGTCTTTTAAGAACTCATTTCTCTCCTTGCTGCTCTTCCTTACCTCTCTCTTCTCTGGCCCCCTTTTCCTCTTCCTTCCTTCCTTCCTTCCTTCCTTCCTTCCTTCCTTCCAGCTCAGGCCCCTAGTCCCCTTTCCCCATAAAAGCGGCCTCTTACAGTTTTCTTCAGATCACACTAAACAATGCCAGCATGCTTATCCAATACAAATCTAATGAATACAAGCTATGCTCCTTGAAAATCCTCCCAAGGGAAATAAAGCATCACCAGCCTAACTTGCCTTATCTCTCTAGAAATTGATTGGGTTATGCCTTGAAGTCTGGGGAGAGGAAAGGAGAAATTTGCCTTTATATGGGCAGGCTGGAAGGAATCCACAGAACCATGTTTTCATCCAACACTTCTTCCCAGGCCTGACCTCGGTCCTAGGCCCTTAAACAGCCTAGGAATTTTCATCACAGACTGGAGTCATATCTGTAGAAGTTTGTAATTTAAAGGGACCTTGAGGACATCTAAATTGCTTTTATAGCTGAGGAAATAGAAGGCCAGGGAAATTAAGTGATGTGTCTAAAGTTACATAGATGGTCAGTGTTAGGGACCAAGTGGTGACTGTTTAGCAATAGGAGGGAACATCCTCTAACCTTTCTCTTTTGATTAGAAAATAAACACAAAAAAGACGGCAAGGCAGCCAGGACTTGAAGATACAATAGCCCAGTGCCTGCTCTGTCCTGGGCATTTTACTCAAAAGCCAGCTGACTCACCTAGTAGTCGGGGCGAGGCATACTTCTCTGGTTTGCATAGGGATTGTGTAGCTGACTGGGGACATTCGTCCTGATTTTAGGGAAGATACTCCCGTCTGCTCCTACATTGCTGAAGCCTGTAGTCTGCTTCAGTCTCAGATTTTGAAAGTCGTTCTCAATCAAGTTCTGTTCTTCAATATTCTTGTTTTTGTTCTTTGACCTATAAATGGTAACAAGAATTAGTAGGATCTGACAATGGCAGAAAGTTCCTTGAAGCAGACATTAATATCCTTTTTTAAAAATATTTTAAAATTTTGAAATAATTTCCAATTTACATATAAGGTACAAAACAAAAACTACATGCAGCTTCCATATGCCCATCACCCAGATTCCCCAATTTGTTAACATGTCTGAACCATTTAAGAATAAGTTCTTAGGTGCCCCAGGACCCATGATACCTCATTACTCCCTAAGTTTTAGGACAATCTCCTCGTAAACTCTCTGTAACCATCAAAAACAGAACATTAACACTTGTCCAACAGTGTCATGTAATTCGGTTGGTCTCATGGAAATCTTGCTAATAATGTTACTATTCTTAAGGTGCTTTTGAATCATATATGGAAACAATCATAGAGGTCAAAGAGAAAAGCTGATTGGTGGCACCATTTTTCATTCAAGCAAAGTCAATGTGTGTGGAAGCACCTAGGTGAACAAAAGTTCGAGGTATAAAGGTCTTACAAGGAGAAAAAGGCGTTTCCCAGGTTCTGCTGTGACCCCTCAAGGACCTCAAGTGGAAGCATTCAAAGTCAAGGATACACACTTGCAGGTGAGGGAGGTACCTGCCCCGGATGAACTCTGTTTCCCACACACAGACCTGCCCCTGCAGTGCCCGGATGCCACAGTGCGGAGTGCATTGGTTGCATCTCTGATGCCCACAGGATACTCTCGGGGTGACAGTTATCCACCGGAAATGTCATAAGGGAAGACCCACTCACCCTGTGGACCCTGGTGGCCATCCCAGCCTACAACAGAATCGCCTCCCTTTGAGAGCACTCCTGTCTAAGGTGCCTGAGAAGAGACTTCCTTCCCTTTGAAATGGGCAAGAAATTATAATTCTTGATGTGTTCCCAAGAATCATGAATGTGAGGCTGAACTAGGAGCAAACCTGGCTCTGTAGCAGGAAGGAGGAACTGAGAAACATAGCTGTCACGGGGTCACAAGTTTCCACAAACAGGCCTGAGGACACTGGACACCCAAGACAGTTAGCCATCCTCCTAGGAAAGGAGGAGACAGCCTTGGTCCAGAACAGAATGTTCTAGCCATCTTCCTAGAAAAGGGAAATTCACATTCCCATTTCCCAGCTTTGCATCCTTATGATAAAGGCTCTAGAGGAAAGAGTTAATATCAAACTGGAATAAAAAAAAAAAGAGAGAAGAAGAAACAAAATCTATTTATCCTCTCACATTATAGTGCAAAAATACCTATTTTGCCAAAATATAAGATATGAGCTAAATGTTACAAACAAGTAGCTTTGTTTTTGCCAAAGTGCACCCGCACTTGGCACATTTAGAAGGGGAACGGAGATAATAGTGTTCTCTCTCCCTGTTAATGGAGGGAACTTTATCGAAATATTTGTCGAATAAATGAAACGACTTGACCCAAGTTCTTAGGAAGGGCACTTAAGGCACCAGGCTGCCAAGTGGCTCTATTGACGTTGATGTGAGAACCGCTGCTGCAGGGTTCTGGGCCAGTCCTTGCTGAGAACAGCACTTGACAACACCAGTGGGGTTGAAAACTGCTAACAAAGGGTTTTGGTGACATCAGAAAATAGTTGCTATGTCACATTACGTGCTAAAAAAAAAAAAAAAATAATAAACCTTAACCATATATGTTTTAAAACACAAAGGATACAGGGGGCCTGGGTAGCTCAGTCGGCTGAGCGTCCAACTCTTGATTTCAGCTCAGGTCATGGCCTCATGGTTCGTGGAGTTTGAACTCCACGTCCGACTCTGCACTGACAGTGGGGAGCCTGCTTGGGATTCTCTCTCTGCCCCTGCCTCCACTTGTTCTCTCTCCCTCTCCCTCTCTCAAAAATAAATAAATAAAAATTTTAAAAAGGAATAAAAAAAAACCCACAAAAGATACAAAATTATGTCTATAATATCATTGAAAAAGAAAAACAATCTGGAAAGATATATGCCAAAATGTCAGTTGCCTCAGGGTGGTCAATTTTGTGAACGATTTTTTAATTGTGCTCCTTTACACATTTTTCTGTTTTCTTCAGTGATCACGTATGGCTTACATAAGCCAAAGAAAATTAAGGTAAGAAAAAAAGCCAACACGCCCACAGTGTTAAAGAGGCCTCGCCTTATTTCCCTTCTCTTGCTGCAGGAAGGCTGGGTATGTTTAGAACCTCGAGCATGATGCTGGTGGTGCTGTGCCCTAGGGAAAGGGACCCGTCCACTCCGTACCTCACTGAGAAGATCAATGCAATCACCAGGCCAAGAACGAGGATGCCAGCGATGCTGCCCACAATAGTTAGGATCAGCTGAAATTCTGAAAAGGAAGAGCAAAGAGTAGGCACAACCTCCCATGAGCGGCCCCCCACTGTCTACTGCAAAGGTACATGTGTTCCCAGTGGTCCCTGACTGTGAAGACAATCAGGCTCTGGTCCCTGACCCCACCAGGGGCAGCTTAGGTGGCAGGTTGGGTGGGAGACTCATCTCCTTTAGCACCTCCCCCACAACTGTGTTTTCCGAACCCAATCAGGAGAGGCTGCCTTTCCAGATAAAAGAAGACCAAAAACATAAAGGAGGCCATGGTCAGTGGCAGGGCCTTCCTGGACTTTGTAGGAGTTGAGATCTCAACTGAGGTCCACATCCTGGCCTCACCTCTGCTGCCTTTTCCTGCCCACCATATCTGGCCTTGTTGACAAGCAGGGAGAACTAGACCGGACTTAAATTTCTCACTAATAGAGGCTTAATACAATCAGCGAGGGGAGAGTTCATTACAGCCCATTCTCTTCCTCTAGAGCTGCTCTGGCTAGCACCATCGAGCACTACAAATGTGGCGCTGCGAGATGGCCTGTGAGTATAACACCCACAGCAGATTTCAAATACACGGTATGAAAACAAGTAAAATTTCTCATTAATAACACTTACATTGATCACATGTTAAAAAATGATATTTGTGATATATTGAGTGAAATGAAATGTTATTAAAATAATTTTATTTATGTATCTTTGAAAAATTGACTTGGGGCACCCAGGTGGCTCAGTTGGTTAAGTGTCTGACTTCAGCTCAGGTCAGGATCTCATGGTTGGTAGGTTCGAGCCCCGCGTCGGGCTCTGTGCTGACAGCTCAGAACCTGGAGCCTGGTTCAGATTCTGCGTCTCCCTCTCTCTCTGTTCCTCCCCCACTCACTTTCTGCTTCTTTTTCTCTCAAATATAAATAAGATATTAAAAGTTTTTTTAATTTACTTAGAATTTTTTAAATTTGAAGTTAAATATGGAGCTCACATTACATTCCTATTGGACAGTGCTATTCTAGAACCCTTTCTCTCTGTCTGCTTTGTGACTGCCATATATGCCACCTCCAACTTGGATTCATGGGGGCACAGACCACTCTGGAAACGACCTCAGAGGTCATTTGGTCCAAAACTCTCATTTTGTAGGTGCAGATGCTAAAAGCCCAGAAGGAAGAAATGACTTAGCAAATACAGCCTTGCAACCAAATATAGTAGAAATTGAGAGCATTTTTCATCATGAATTTTGTGGCTCACTGGGAGGCCACAGTCATGTTTCCTTCATCTTGGATCATTGGTCTTTAGTTAGTTAGGTAAGATTTAAAATATAATTAAAAATATAAAGTTAGTATTGTCCTAGACTGGTGGCAGTGGGATGTGGGAGAGAACAAAGCATCTGAACTTGCAACAATACACTGCAAGCTAGTAAATGGCTCTGGAACAAAAAGATTTGAGTATCTCAATGTCTGGGTTTTAGTTCTGCTCTCCCACGATCACAGACATTTTTGGAACATACTGGTCTTTTACCCTTACTAGTAACAGAAAATGCATATTTCAGCCGATGTACAGAATGAACAGAATGTTTGGACGCCCTCCTCTGGTCCGGCCAAGTGCAGAGGCGCCAGCCTCCCTCGTGGGCTGGGTTCTGTTATTTCCTACAGCTGAGGTGCTGCTGCTCATGACCTAAGGGCAGGAATGGGATGGCATGACCCAGAAGACCAACTGGAGGCAGAGTTTCTCACTCTTTATGAAGGGAGCCAGAGACTTTGGAGTCCTGGGCAGAATTTTGAATGTGCTCCACATTTCTCAGATGATTACTAACAAAGCAAAACGTTTATACTCACGGTCTTTACAGTTGACTCCGTTGTAGCCAAAGGCACACCTAAAATACAATAATGGAAACCATGGTACAGAGTCTCCACGGGGAGCATGTCAGACTTCCCACCCAGCCTCCAGTCTTCCTTTCCATCTTCCTTTCATTCTCCCCCCTCCTTCTCCTCTTCCTCTTTTCTGCCTTACGCTTCCATTCTTCTGGGTGAGCACCTTCCATGGAGCTCTGGAAGGCTGAAGAGGGTACACAATTCCCAGTGGCCCCATTTCCTACTGACTGAACATTCCATCCTCTGGGCTCCAGAAAGATTCGGCAATTCAGGCTACGCTGAACCCTAGAGGCCTGGAGCATTGTGGGTTCCCCTTGGCTGCGAGGCCACATGTCCCTGCCACTTATCTGCTGCCCTGTGAGCTGGGGCTTGTTATTTACATTCTCCGAGCTTCACTTTCCTCACCTGCAAATGCGGAACAAATCCATTCCCGACAGCGTTGTTTTGGGAGACATATTACCTAGCATGGTTCCCGGCGCACAGAGAATGTTCAAAAACCATTGATGATGATGACGGTGATAGGATCATGCTCTTATCTTACCAACTTATGGAAGCATTCCAACATCCTGACCCTAAACCCATGCATATGTCTACAAGTTCTATCCTTTTTGGCTAGTTCAAGCTATGGCAAGATGAAAAAGAGTGGTTTCTCTTACTCTCGACAGATCCCATGATCATCTTCCTCGTAGCCTGAGAGGCACACGCATTCGGGGCTCCCACTGTTCTTGTTCAGTAAGCATTGCTTATTATGGTCTGCGTTGCAGGTATCAGGACACTTTGGAGCAGAGGCTTCAAAACAGAATTTCTGGGTGATTTTCAGAAACAACGCCTTCAACCCCCAAGTGATATGTCACAGAACACAATTTTTCACATTGCTTTTTCTGGGTCAGGTGAGGTGCTCCCTGGCTGTGCACATGACACGCTCCCTGTGAAGCTGCACATGGGCTTCCTCACCAGCTCGGAGCCAAGGCCTCAGTCCAGACCCATGTGGCTAAAGCCCAAATGCACACCCCTGAGACACATGGACACTTGAGCAATAAAGCTTGTATTTTGCAAATGCAAAAGGAGAGAAGGTGGGGGTTGTGAAGAAGTTTCACAAGCAGGTAGAACACTCACCAACACACACAGGGATCTGGGGGTTAGGTCTTTCCATCCCCGGCTTGCATTTACACAGCAAACCATTGTCACATTTGTCTTGCTGGTTTTCCTTTTCACAACCATAATAATCACACAGGCTTTGAACTGAGAGGGACAAGCAATTCAAGAATACAGTCAGAAAGACAATATGAATAAAGTAACTTGTGAAAGCATTTTACTCCATTGTTATACACACCTTTCTATACAGTTTGGGATTTAACAAAAGGAAATCTGGGATATTGAAATCCAACTCCCTAATTTTCCCTTCTATGACCATGTCCTTATAGTATTCAATTCAAATTAATTCAATAGAAGGTAGTACAATTATGTTCAAGGGCAAGATCTCTTTTTCACTTAGTTCTATGCTGGGATCCACAAGGGACATAGTAGTTATATAACTTTTGGGCCCCATCTTTGTGGAGTTACATGTCTGAGCCCACAGAAAGTCCCCCCAGTCAACTCACGGTCCAGACTTTAAGTACAATGGGAATTCAGAGGCTCAACTAGCTAAAGACAACCTTATGAAGGTTCCAGGAGGTGGGCTAAGTCTTGAAGGATAGGGAAGATTTGAGCAGTCAAAGGAGAGGCAGTCTGTCAAGTGGAGAAAAGTAGGCATGAAAAGCAGCAAAGGACTCTTGTCAGGGAGTAGTGAAGTTGTCCTTGGGCAGGGGAGAGGTGGTGTGTCGAGGTGGGAGAGAGATGAGAATTCTTGGCCCTGCCATTTACAGGCTATGAGCTGTCTGTTCGGTTTTTTGATTTTTGGTGGATCCAGGTGTCCTCTATCTATAAAACGGGGCTAATAATTCTTGTTTCACATGATTATTGTGAGAATTGAATGATGTCAATGCAAGTGCCACACCAGGAACCTCAACAAATAATCATGCTTTTGTTCAGTCACATGTACAGCAGAGTTTGAATGCCAGGCTAAGGATGTTGACTTTTATCCTACAAGCCTGGGAATCCATTGGTAGATTCTGAGCAGAAGCATGGCAGGAGAACGCATTCTTTTAAGAATGTTAGTCTAGAAGCATGTTGAAAGACATTAGGGATAAAAAAAATGAATCTGAGAATAGAGTAAGGGGCAAACATAGGAGCAGGTAAAACAGAAAGTAGTTATTCTCGTCTAAACATCCCACACCTGTAACTAACCTTCCTTCATCGCCTACCATTTGAAAAAGCCAACTAGGGGCACCTGCATGGCTCAGTCAATTAAGTATCCAACTCTTGATTTCAGCTCAGGTCATGATCTCATGGTTTGTGAGTTTGAGCCCCGCATCAGGCTCTGCACTGACAGCACAGAGCCTGCCCAGGATTCTCTCTCTCCCTCTCTCTTTATCCCTCCTCCACTCTTTTTCTCAAAATAAATAAACTTAAAAAAATAAATAAATAAAAAATAAAAAGAAATGGACATATGGTTTGCACAGGAAATTCTCAGATGAGATTTATAAACAAAATACAGAAAGAAGGTCCCATAACCAAAGACAGAATATTAATAGTGTAATAAAGTCTAGAGCTCCAAATGAGATCAAGCTTGCCACAGACAAAACCCAAACAACAAACAGGAAAACCAACAACAAAGAGCAAACGGGTAAAATAGAAAGATAGGTGAACAAATGGAGGGTCATGTGTGTATTTCATGCTATGGAGCCCACAGAAAGGCCAGGCCTGGCAGCTGTCATGTTGATGGGTGACATGAGAGAAACACAACTAGTCTTCTCCAGTCTCTTCTGCCAGGAAGGAACACTCAGTGAAGAGTTGAATGCACGTTGCCAAGAGGCAGCAGCCCAAGGAGAAGGTATGGTGCAGAGGGGCCTCCATTGTTTCAGGTAGAAGGTGAAGTGCTTTACCCCAGAGCATTTACATTCCAGATCCCGAGAGAACAGTGAGAATCTGCGTGAAATCTCGAAGAAAGTGGAAAGGTGCTGGAAAGCTATACACGAACAGGATTTGTGTATTTCCAAAAAGAGAAAACAGTTTTGCAAACTAGGCCACAAAGGTTACATTCATTAAAAAGCAAAAATTTAAGAGACTCAAGGAGAAGTTTCAGCAGGAGCAAAAAGAAGGATGAGAGAGGCCAGCAGGGGAATTATGGCCTTACAACAAATAAATGGTTGCTGTTTCAGGCCGCTAAGGTTGGGGTGGTTTGTGACACAGCAAAAGTGAATTGTTCCAGCTGTGCTAGGGGCTTGCGTGTCAGCCTAAAGGGGAAACAGAGTAAGGAAGGCTTTCTATGATCATTTGGAAGCTACAAGTTGGTATAAAGCCTTCTTGTTTCTCCTTTCTTTATCTTTTCCTGTCCAGAGACCATCTGTTCACGACTGCCTTCCAAAGAGAGGAGCAAAGTGGTCAGAGTGATAAGTAGAGCCAGTGAGGGAGGAGAGGGAAGAAGAATGACTAATTAACAGGCATTGGGCCCATCAGTGGATTCAGTTCTCCTGCTTTTCTTGCCCTCTTCTCACATGTAATGGAAATGTTTTCAAAAAGGGAGGTCTTTAGGTAAACTTCGAATAAAACTACTGAATACTTACTAATATATCCTGTAATGCCATCCTTGTTGTTTTCAATTGCTTTCTGAATGGATTTAGACACGGTCACCTCATCTTCTTTTGTAGTTTTTGTGAAAATGTTTACGACTTCTACAGAGACATCCCTTTCACCAGCACGTGTTTCCGATCTTGCTGAAGGAGAGGTGCTAAAAATGAAATGAATCCATCACTTGATGAACTGAAGAATTGACAGATTGATTTTCAAACCTCCTGGACTCCCCAGTCTCTCAGCTCCAGCCCTGAGCCGCTGTCTTATATCCACAACTGGGGCCCAAACATAAAGGCCTGGCTTTGTAGTATGCTAGCAATTTACAGGCCTGGAGCTCTATCTCTCTTCCATGTGCGCTCAGAGGAAATCTATGGCTAAAACGATGCCCTATTGGAGGATATTGAGAAAAATTGTGGACAGTCCGTTTTAGGTGCTAAAAGCCTGAAACTAACCAGAACCAGAACAAGTAACATCTGATATAGTAAGTTGTCACTTTCTGTAGAAAATCAAGAGTAGGTCTTAGGGCACCTGTGTGGCTCAGTCGGTTAAGCATCTGACTTTGGCTCAGGTCATGATCTCCTGATTCCTGAGTTTGAGCCCCACATCGGGCTCTCTGCTGTCAGCATGGAACCCACTGTGGGTCCAGTCTCACTCTCTCTGCCTCTCTCCCATGCTCGCTCACGCGCGCGCTCTCTCTCTCTCTCTCTCAAAAATAAATAAACATTAAAAAAACAAATTAAAAAAAAGAGTAGGTTTCTTGCTGAGCTGGCAAACCTCACTTATACTTTAAGGGAGACAGAAGGGTGTGAATGTGCATTCCTCTCTTGCACAGAGAGAGCAGTAATCAACCACACTGAGTCTGGGTCATTCCCCAGAGGGCCAGGGGGGTCAGCAGGCAGATTCAGCTCAGACACTGAACGAAGGAGGGTGGGGCTACAGGGAACATGAGCACAGAACACCACATCAGATCCCCTGATTGTGAGTGCCTGCTGTGAGCAAGACATTGCATGGTCTCTCTCCACTGGGCGCTGCAGTTTGGAGCCCCAAGAACCTCTGTGTCTAATTCTAATTCTTCCACTGTCCAAGAGGAATCGAGTGATACAATCACGAAAAGAGAGGGGTGGGGGAAAGGACTTTCAAAAAGTCCTTCCCTCTCCAGCCTGTGGCTGTGTGTGTGTGTGTGTGTGTGTGTGTGTGTGTGTGTTTTAAGCAGGCTTCACACCCAAGCACAGGACCCAACATGGGGCTTGAACTCACAACTCTCACATCAAGACCTGAGCTGAGGTCAGGAGTCAGACACTCAACAGACAGAGCCACGCAGGTGCACCATTGGCTATGTGTTTTTTAAGATTCATGCTATATTTTTCCTGTTCTTTTTTTCTTCTAGACTCCATTTTGACTTCTGAATAAATATCAGAAGCTTGAAAACATAGCCAACCTACTTAGGAAATGTTTACAGCCATATTCATTCCTCAGAACAATTGAGAAAATCCAAACTCAAATGGTCACCGCAAAAGGGAGTCCAAAAAGCAAAATGGGATTCAGATTCTAATTTAAAATTCCCTCCCGTGATTAATTCATGATAGGATTTGGAGGTGACGATGGAACAGACGGGGCAGTGAGAAAGGGGTATTTGATACAAGTCCTTTATCAGGTGAAAAATGACCAGAAATCTACAGAATAATTTTGCAGTAGGGCTAGGAAGGAAAGGCTATCCACAATTCATTCACTCAAAGGACCTACTAGCACACCCTCCAATTCAGGAGGCAAGATATTACAACGAAGGGAAAAAATGGAACCACTGTATATTTAGTGACAAAACAACGTGGCATATTACCTGCCTCCAAAGTCCCCCATCGATCCACTTACCTTACTTCACGAATTATAGTCTGTCCATAATCAAAACTGTTAAATGCATTCACAAACTGTGAAGGAGAAGAACAAATTTAGTAATAACCACGAAGAGGGGGGGAAATGTGATACTATATCTAGGTGTTCACATAAACACATTTCTAACCTCCTTGGTGTAAATATGCGTGGTTAATCACAGCAGTTTGCTCCTTGCATGTGCTCTAACACATTTTGATAATTTTTGTTCCAAAATAGTAAGATTCTGATGTAAAGTCAGAGTTCTCCAGGAAAAAAGACAGACACCTAAAGCACCCAGCCAAATCAATGATCATACTTTTAAAACTAAGGAGACTAACTTGTTAAGTTTGTATTTTCAAAGTCACTGTGAAGTTTTGCATATTTGTTAGACTTATCTATAAAGCCTGCTTCACACACTCATCAGTCTACCCAAGGAACGCTTATTTAATTTCCCACCTTGCTGAGGCAGGATGCCAGACACAGAGGTTACAAAGACGGCAGGCTATGCCCTGAGATCGGACAGGGGACTACACCATGAAGTTGAGACAGGTAAGCACCACGGAGCAATACGATCTACCAGAGAAATCCAGAAAAACTCTCTTCCAGTTGCAGAGAACCAGAGAGGGCTTCCAAAAGCAGACAAGCCTTAAAGCATTTCAGAGGCAGTGCTGGGACACAGAGAGGGGGAAGGAGCCCACACACTAATGTTCAGAAGCAGTGTGGCTCAGAAAAGAGCAGGCTGGACTGGGAAGAACACCTAAGGTCACAGTTCTCCATGTGTCAGCTTTTGTAGAACTTCTTTGGACCTCATTCTTCTCATGGGAACCCTTGCTGTAGCAGTAATTCCTACCAACAGGGCTATTATTGGTATAAAATGAGATGGAATTGATACATGACTTTGTGAGCTGGAAGGGGCTCCAGCACAAGTACATGTCACTAGGCAGAATTGTGTCATGGGACCTCAGGCAGGGGTGAAGTGGAGGGGCTGTGGGACCTCAGGCAGGGGTGAAGTGGAGGGGGGTGTGAGAGGGTCCCAATAAGAATGTAAGTTTTCTCTTTCTCATAACCTCCCCCGCCCCCACCCCATAGCACTCAACACAGGTCAATCCCCAGGAAATGTTCAACAAACACTGGCTGACTGATGACTGAATAAATTAAATGTGAAAGACATGACCTTGAACATGTCTTCCCTCCTGTGGGCCCCAGTCTCCATATTTTATTATATGAGTGTTCCACTGGGTTGGTGCAACCTTTTTATAATCCAATGACTTTTTTACTATTTTTCTCCTCATGGTGACCCAATGCTTTAAAAGATCCTGGTAACCAATGTCATTTAAAAAGATGTTAAATCATTTCTCTTTTATTCTAGTCAAATTCAAACAAATCTGATGCTCTAGTGAGTCTGGGTAGCCTTACATCCAGAATACATCCATATGCCTTTTAGTTCTTTTAAATACGAGGAATAGCTGGCATTTATGTAAACCATCAGGGGCCTGGGAGTTCACTTAGCAACAAGTTCATTGGTCATCTTCCGAGGGCCCTCTCATTCCCCTACTCACCATTGCCCACTTAATTTTCTTATGCCTATAGAAGAGATTACAAAATTAGCATCTGGCATAGGAGAAAGTGTCTCTGTTTTTTTGTTTTTGTTTTTTTCAAATCTTCCAGGTCACCCTTTGAGGCTGTCCGGACATACACATATCAAACTGAAGGGCTGTAAGTCTGGACAAGAAGGCAGTAGCTACCCAAACAGGCCTGCTGGCCCTCTACTGCATGACACAGCAAGCAGGTGAGAAGGAGAAGAAGCAGTTTTGTGTCAGGCAGGTCTGAGTTCAAGTCCCTACCTCCTCACTCATCAGCTGGGTGACCTTCAGTCAGTTAATTAACCTTCCTGATCCTTAACAGCCTCATCAGCAAAATAGCACCATTGTACCACCTTCCCCATTAGGTTGTTTTGGGAATTAGAAACATTACACATAAAATTCCAGGCACGTATGCAACAGGGAAACTCCACATCCCTTTGCAGACTGTCCATCTGGATCCAGCTGGATAGAAAATGGGCCCTGGGAGACATCTTGGGGCCTGAGCTGGGACTGCCCTGGCTACAAAGTCTGCTAAGAGGACCTTGAAGAAAGTCAATTATCTCTCTTTTCTTGTCTGTAAGAACCGCAAATGAGTTCTGGCATATCCTCTTCAGAAAAAAAACTTCCTGAAAATTATAAGAATGCTCTCTCCCCTTCATGGTCCCTCTGAAACCATCAAGACCTGACTGAGACCAAGTCTCAAAATCGGTCTCTGAAGACCAGGGCATAGGCCTGTACCAGGAGGGCGCTTGTGGACACTCATACCCAAAGCAAGTTTGGGGAACGTGGTGGCCACAGGGGCCACTGCTCAGTAATGCGACTTGAGATAGTAGAGGGGTTCTCTGGAAATAGGAACACATGGATGTTGCTGTCCTCAATGCACCAGAAAATCATCCAAGTGGGAGAACTGGAATGTAGATCTAGGATAAGACGATAGGTCATGGCCAGCTGGCCCGTCGTGCACAGGCGGTATGTGCAAGGCCAAGGCCAGGAGGCTGCAGTCAGGTTTCACCCTCGCAGTGCCAGGCACCGGCTGTTTGGTCGTGAGCACTAGCTGTCTCCGTACAATCTGTAAATCATCTGGACAATAATGTTTTATGTTTTACCGTTCTACTAGCAAAACTCTTCTGTGATGAAATAATTCAGAATTGAAAGGTATGGTCTTCCATGTCTTTTTAGCTTTTAAAAGTGTTGCCCCACCTAGGGTTCTAAGACATATTTACTGGCTCCTTGTTTTTTTTTTTGTTTCTTTAAAACTAAACTTTCAGAAACACTGGTCTAACATAGATCCAGAATGGAGATTTCCACCCCTTTTCATGCTGGCACATTCACTCACAATCATCAAAATGAAATGAAGCTAAGGTTCATTTTGACATTTTCGACAGTGGGGGGAGAAAAAGTAACAGATACTAATCTGAACAGAGTTCCTTTTCCAGGCATTAAAAAAAAGCCCGACTAGGATAGAAGTATAAGCAGATTTGAAGGTAGAAAGGAAAAAAAGAAACCTTGATTTTTTTCTCTTCAATCCTACGAAAATATTTTATTTTTTATTTTTTTTCCTACGAAAATATTTTAAAACATCATTATATTTATGTGTCCATTTTAAAATATTCTTTTCTCTTAATGTTTATTTTTGGGAGAGAGAGAGAGGATGCAAGTGGGGGAGGGGCAGAGAGAAAAGGAGACAGAGGATCTGAAACAGTCTTTGGACTGAAAGCAGAGAGCCCGACGTGGGGCTGGAACTCACGAATTTTGAGACCATGACCCGAGGCGAAGTCTGCCGCTTAACTGACTGAGCCACCCAGACACCCCTCCATTTAAAAATATTCTCATAGCTTCTGTATCAAAGAGTATGGATGGCATCGTTGGAACAAGCCTCGAAGGGCCCTCTGCCGTGCTTAGTGTTAGTCATCTAGGTGCAGGATCATGGGGAGGCCTAAGCGTCCTAGCGGAGGAGCCCGGGCAACCAGGTGCCAGGGGCTCAGGACAGTTGCTATTTACCAACCAGTAAGGGTGCATTTCACTATTTCACGGACTAATACAGCTGCACCAGTGTGTACGGACTGAATACCAGTCCTACATCCGTAAGTCATTGTTAGAATAAAGGACACTTATGCAGGAAGAAAGGTAGGAAAATACTTACAAATTCAGTAACTTTAGTATGTAATTTTTGATAGGCCATAGAATTTTTATCTTCCAAACCAGACGTTTCTGATACTTTTACTGTAATTGTTCCAGGGAATAGCTTTCCTGAAATTTAAGCAGAATCTTTTTTGTAATATTTAACATAAAAAGGGTTAATTTCTATTGTGTTTAAAACATAGATTATTCTCTAAAATTCTAAACATTATATGATGATTATTATGGGAAGTCTGGGAGTACCAAAAATGTTGCCCCAAATCTCACCCAGCCTAACGCAACCATTTTTGCTTTGGTACAGTTCGCCCAGCTTTTGTTTTCTGTGCATAGTTTGCATCGTTACAATTCCATGTTTACATTGTGAGTCTTCTTTACCTATTGTCACATAATAAGCACTTTTCCAAATAATTACCTAGTCTTCATAACTATTTCATTTACTCGTATGCTTATTTATTAAAGTAGGCTCCACGCCCAATATGGGACTTGAACTCGTGACCCTGAGATCAAGAGTTGCATGCTCTCCCAACTGAGCCAACCAGGCGCCCCCCATAACTATTGGTTTTTTTCTGATAACTATTATTTTTAAAGACTGCAAAATACTCTATGAAATATACATTATCTTCATTAATAGTCTTTATTTGTTTTAATGCTACCGACTATTTAAAAAGAAAAATAAAATTTGCAGCAAACATCTTTATGCACAAACCTTTCTATATTTGGGGTCCGTACTTAGAGTGGATGCCCAGAAATGAGATTATTAGTGCTGAAATATGAACGTCCGTTTGGCTTTTGGGGTATCTCTAATCCCTGTGGCCAACACGGTACATTCATTTCCTGCATAATTGGTCTGCTCTGGCAGGGGGAGATATTTTTCATTCATGAAACAGAGAACAATTTCTAACTCAGGAAACAGTCTTGGACCTGCAGAGCACCCAGCTGAACTAACCAAAAAAGGGTTATGCCAGAGGTGTATTGATTTGCTCCTAAAGTCCATTTCAGGAGCCAAGAGGTTCTTAAGTCTCTAAAAATGGAGCTTTCTGTTGGGAGCAAGCAAATTCTGTGACAGAGAACTGACTTGAGGTCAGAGAGTAGGCTCTCAGGTTTGTCTTAAGTATGGCACCTTATCCTGAATCGGTGTCCCCATGTAACAGCACGACTTTGTATTTATGCAGTTGTCAGAATTTTCCAGGGGCTGCAACACTCATCATTTTGTCCTTATGGCACCGTTCCCTTTAACCAGTACAGTGAAGGGACACATCCACTCCCAGACCTTTAGGACAAGCTCACGCACACCTCTGATTTGGTCCATCTCCCATCCCTCTAGTTTCCACTGAAATAAAAGCAGGAGCTTTTTCTCTACTCAGCAGGCCTTTGTTACCTATAAATCATCCTCTACCTCTACTATTCTGGAGGCTCTTTTGACATTATTTTACATTTCCCATTCCACTTTAGGTCTGAAATGCAGCTCTGCCCAGTTCATCCCTTGTAACTCACCTTCTTTGCATGTGGAAGAGTTATAGTAATATCCTAACGAACACAGGCAAAAATAGGTATCATTCAGGCTAACACATGAAGAATCGCCTTTACAGGGAGTTCCGTGGCAAGGACTGCTGAGATCTGAGATGGAAGAGAAAGAGATTAAAAATCCACAGAATGACAACAAATTACACCCAGAAACATACTTCAAAATCTTCTTGCCTCCCTCTGGGCACTTTCCATTCCTTGGTTTTGTTAGTCTACAGCACACCCTTAGAAGAGCTAGAAGCAAATACATATTCCCTTACGTCTTGAGGGAGTTTGTTGCTGAAATTCTGGAGCCAGAGGCTTGTCAACGGTAAAGGGCAGGGACCGGTGGGCAAGAAAGAGTGTACTTATAGAGACAGCAGTCTTCTAATTCCATCGTTGGAATCTTTGGATTGCAAGGATCCTTCAGAACCTTGATGTCTGTGCCTCTGACACTAGGTAGGGCTCCTTAACACCATTTGAGAGAGAGAATCCTATTTTCTAGGGAAGTATGAATAACTGTCTTATAGGGAGGTAGAGGCAAGAAGCACCCCCCCAAGAAACTAGGTGTTCTATTTGAGTTAACTAACATAGCACACAGGTGCATGAAGAAAGGAAAAGGGACAGGAAGGGGCCCCTGCAGATTAACTCAGTGAAAATTCTCAGAGGAAGTGATGATGGCACACTCTCTCCCCTGGCTTTCTGAGTGGATGACTTGAATAGTTGGTGAGAATTATATTGCAATGGTGTCCACACCATTGGGTGGTGCTCCCAGACCAGGCAGGGTACAGCCTCTTCCTCTCTCTGGAGAAGTGGTGGGATCGGGGAGTGGAGTTAGGTCAGAGGCCAAATTGGCTGGCCATTTTCTCCACCTCTGTCGAATAAAATGATTCTGAGCTTTGATTTCAGAAATAGTCAAGTGACTGATCAAAAGGTGTTAATATTCTTACGAACTTATAGGTAGAAATTGTTGATTTTTTAAAAAAAGCTATATATAAGGTGCAATGTGTACAACATGCTCTCTTTTGTGATAAAAAGAGAGGAACATGCACAAACACACAAATGTGTATGCTCGTATTTGCACAAATTCCTCTGGAGAAAGATATGAGAAGCTGGCCACAGAAGTTGCCTCTGAGGAAGGAAACTGGGGTCTGGGTCCTAGGAGCTTAGGATAGGAAGGAGATTTAGTTTTTACTGAATATACTTTTGCCCTGTTTAAGCTTCTTTTCTTCCATAACTTTGGGCCTAATTCATTTCTTAAAAAAATTTTTTTTTAATGTTTATGTATTTTTGAGAGAGAGACAGAGCATGAGCGGGGTAGGGGCAGAGAGAGGGGGAGACACAGAATCCGAAGCAGGCTCCAGGCTCTGAGCTGTCAACACAGAGCCTGAGGTGGGGCTCAAACCCAGGAACCGAGAGATCATGACCTGAGCAGAAGTCGGATGCTCAACCAACTGAGCCACCCAGGCACCCCTACTTTTATTTAAAAAAATAGAAATTAGGGGCGCCTGGGTGGCTCAGTAAGTTAAGTGTCCAACTCTAGATTTGGGCTCAGGTCATGATCTCGGTTTGTGAGATCGAGCCCCCACATCAGGCTCTGCACTGACAGCACGAAGCCTGCTTAGGATTCTCTCTCTCCTCTCTCTCTCTGCCCCTCCGCTGCTTGCACACTCTCTCCTCTCTCTCAAAATAGATAGATAGATAGATAGCGCTGATGAGGATTTGGAGCAATGGGAACTCTCATTGGTGGGAAAGCAAGATGGTATAGCTTCTTTGGAAGACAGTTTGGTAGTTTCTTACAAAACTGAACATACCATATAATCCAGCAAGCACACTCCTTGGTATTTACCCAAAGGAGTTGAAAACATGCCCACTCAAAAACCTGCACAGGCATATTTATGGCAGCTTTATTCATAATTGCCAAAATTTGGAAGCAACCAAGATATTCTTCAGTAGGTGAATGGATAAAACTGTGCTGCATTCAGGCAGTGCAATATTATTCAGAGTTAAAAAGAAAGGAGCTTTGAAGCCCTGAAAAGACATGAAGGAATCTTTTTTTTTTTTTTAATGTTTATTTATTTTTGAGAGAAAGAGTACAAGTGAGGAAGGGGCAGAGGGAAAAGGGGACAGAAAACCCCAAGCAGGCTCTGCACTGTCAGCACAGAGCCCGACGCGGGGCTCAAACCCACAAACCGGGAGATCACGACCTGAGCCAAAGTCAGATGCTTAACTGACTGAGCTACTCAGGCACCTTGGTATGAACTAATATTCTAAGTAAAATAAAAGGTGTTTTCAAAAATCCCCACATTGCAAGGATGATTTGGAAAATCCTAGGGAAGGAACTGAGCACAAGCCCACTCAGGATACACCAGGCAGACAAGTCCTGGAATGCTTTCCCTCCGGCAATAAAGGACAGACTTGTCAGCCTGTTCTGTGCGACAGGAATAAAGTCACAGGATGTTGCAGCCAGAAGGGATTTTGATGGCTATTTGGTTCAGTCACACCTTATTACAGCTGGGTAAGTTGAAGCCAGGAGAGAAGTGACTTGCCCCCTCCCCAGGTAGCTAGTGGAGGGGTTTTACTCTGAGGGAATGTCCGGGGACGCAGAAATTGCTTAGAAAAGTTCCCTTTCCTGACTTCAGTAGAGCCGATTGTGCAGCTGTGACCCAGGTGGCCTAGTCTTCAGAGTGGTCCCTCCAAACATGAAGGCAGACCGGGACCCAGGTCTTAGATACAGGTTCTGTCTCCCCTTGCTTAACCAGCCAGTTCTTAGATCTATCTGGACCCTTCAAGCCTAGGTTTGAGGATTCTTTTAGACCAGCGGTTGGTAAACTATGACTCATGAGACAGATCTGGCCCGTCTTCAGTTTTTGTAAATAAAGTTTTACTGGTGTTTAGCCAGGCTCGTTCATTTGTGTATGGACTGTGACCGCTTTCGTGTTAAAATGGCAGGCTGGAGTAGCTGCAACAGAAACCCTATTGTGGCCCACAAAACCGAAAATATTTACTAGCTGGCTTTTGCTGATAAAGTTCGCTGACCCTTATTCTAATAAGACCAAACTTTGGGAAATGAGGCAAGTGGTTTCTGTTTCAATAATTTTGACTTGAGGTCAACTGCCAACTCTTCAGGACAGTATTCCTGAAACATCTGTCCTTTGGACAATGGCCCCATGTCTAGGACCATTTGAGCACTGCCGTTGTTTGGCTTTTTATTCCTCAGACTCACATTCCGTGAATTAACTCAAACTCCAAACTGTGAACAGCCACCATTGCAATGTCATACTTTCCCCTAACATTGAGTCAGGATAGCACTGACTCCTTCCTTGCATAGATCAGGGAGACAGACCAGTGGGGCTGGAGAGACAGTGCTTATTTGGACCTTGCCTTCTCAGAGAAGCTGAAACTATTTCTTAAAATCTCCTAGGGAGATGGAAGCTAGAAAAGTAGCTTTCATGATGCCCAAGTCCATAAAAATATTCCATAGCTTGGAAACAGCTTCGTTGGCTCAGTCGGTTAAGCGGCCGACTTCGGCTTAGGTCATGATCCTTGGTCTGAGTTCTAGCCCGTGTCCGAGCTCTGTGCTGACAGCTCAGAGCCTGGAGCCTGTTTCAGATTCTGTGTCTCCCTCTCTCTGACCCTCCCCTGTTCATGCTGTGTCTCTCCCTGTCTCAAAAATAAATAAACATTAAAAAAAAAAATTAAAAAAGTCCATAACTAACTTGAAGTAGGATAGGTGGAGGGCAAAGGAGAACAGAATGAAACCGTGGGTTATCTTTTAGGGTCTCTGCCATGACTACTAGCCTTTGTGACTCAGGGTTTTTTTTTTTAATTTTTATGTCTTCACTCATTTTGGGAGAGTGGGGAGGGGCAGAGAGGGGGCAGTCAAGCAGGCTCTGTGCTGACGTGAAGGGGGAGGCCTGGCGTGGCTTCGAACTCACAAACCGTGAGAACGTGGCCAAAGTCGGATGCTTAACCGACTGAGCCACCCAGGTGCCCCTTGACTCAGAGTTTGTAATTCCAGGGGTTCATATTCAAGGAAACCTTGGGTCTCTCTATACCCACTTTCCTCCCCCCCACAGAACACACTTACCTACCATCCTCCCCAATGCTAGGACTCTGCAAAGGAGCAGTCTTTAAGGAAATCGCTCTTACCTGGGGGACCAGGGTTTGGGGGGCTGCTCTCAGGCGAAGTGACATTGCCAGAAGTCACTGAAGGAACAGCCTCTGAGGAATTACTTTGGGGGACTGTGATGAGGGATGATCCAGTGTCCGTCTCTGTCGTTTGTGTTTCTGGAGAAGTGACCACTGTGGTTGGCTCATTGCTCCCAGAAGAAACGCAGCCAGGGGTAGGTGCAGCTGTTGTGTTTTCATCTGTGCTTGATTTACTTGTTGTAGACGTGACAGTGGCGTCTGTAACTGAACTCGATATAGAAACAGAGGCCACAGAGGAAGTTGGTGGAGTTTTCGTGGCAGTTGTGACAGTTGTTGTGGTAGGTGTTGGGGCAGTTGTCGCAGTTGTTGTGGTAGGTGTTGTGGCAGGTGTTGTGGTAGGTGTTGTGGCAGTTGTCGCAGTTGTTGTGGTAGGTGTTGTGGCAGCAGTAACTACGTCATTCATGGTAGCGCTACTTGAAGGAGTTGTATTTTGCCCAATGGCTGGAGGAACAAAGATACCAAGTTTCAGAAGAAAGAACATTCGATACATAACGGCAGTTACTTATTCTTTAATACTAATTAGTACCCAATCATTCTTTCTTGAAAAATAAATATAGTTGACTACATTAAAAACGATATACATGGGGACACCTGGGTGGCTCAGTTGGTCGAGAGTCCAACTTTTGATTTTGCTACAGGTCACAATCCCAGGGTTGTGAGATCGAGCCCTGCATTGGGCTCCGTACAGAGCATGAGCCCTGCTTAAGATTCTCTCTGTTTCTCTTTGCCCCTCTCCCCCACTCATGCACGCTCTCTCTCTCGCTCTCTCTCTTTTAAAAAAAAAGTAAAGAAAATACATGACTACTTCGGTCACACACACACAAAACCCTCACAATAGATAAAATTAAAGAGAAATAAACTGGAAAAATGTTACTGAACTATATTACAAAAAGTTAATATGGATGAAGACAAGGACCAAGAAGTAACATCATTTAGGCCTGTAGTTGCTGGACTATTAATCCAGGTTTAATATTCTCTAGTAGTCTTCTGAGGACAATTGACAATGCCAGCAGGTGGCGCTGTTACTACCTGAAAGTGGCAGTCTTTGTCTTTTTTGTCTTTTTATAGTTTAAGGCAATAGTCCCCATTTTAGGGAGGGCAGGGGAGGGGGTTTATTTAAAGAGAGATGAAATAAAAATACCTCATTACGTGTGTATTAAACTTTCTCCAAAAATTGTTTCCTAGGGATGTTTACCCATTAATAATTTTAGACACATTAATTTTTTAAAGAGCAGGATGAGTAGAGATGATTTTTGCCCTAAGGGCTACGGTGATCATCAGAGTTGCCTTTTTTCCAACTCTTAGAAACCCCTGGACACATGGAACAGTAGTAAACTCTTAGTGACCCAGTGATTACTCTTTTAGAACCCTTGTCTCAAAGAACGCTGACACTGACAACCAGTTTAAAAACAAATATTAGAAGGTTTCGTGAGAAAAAAAAAAAAAGAAAAAAAAGTGTAAGTGAGGAAGCAATTCCTAACCCCTCCGATATAGAAAGACCACTGATTCCCCCACAAGGCTGTGAGCCCCTGGATGGCAGAATCTGGCTCTCCACCTTCAACAGGGCCTGGCTTAAATAGTCATTAAGTGTTGAAGAGATAAACCATTGCTCGGCCAGGAGCAAGAAAATAGTTCACCAACTGACCACCTTTTTTTTTTTTTTTTTTAAGAGTGTATTTTTAGGTAATCTCTACACCCAATGCGGGGCTCAATCCTGAGACAGAGTGGTGAGCTCCACTGACTGAGCCAGCCTGGGTGCCCCACCAGCTGGCCATCTTCACTGCTCCTCCTCCTATCCCTGCTACTCTGCTCATTTAACAAGGGCTCACCCTGAGTCAGAGAGTAACTGTGAGATGGATACGTGCATCCATCTTTGATAGAAGAGCCGGCCAATACCCAGATGGGTTTAGGGATTTGCCCAGAGATAAACCGTAATTCCCATGTAGAAGGAGACAAAAGACTCCTGATGCTGGAATCAGGGATTAAACCAGATCCCTGCACTGCATTAGGGTCCAAATGACATTTGGGGGCCAAAGAAAAGTCTACTGAAGGGCATCAGGCCCTCGGAACCTACTGAGTTGTTCTCGTCTGGCCTGAGGAACTCTGGAGGACAAATCTCTGGCTTGCTGAACCCCACACCTTAGCCCAGAGCCCCCTTTACTTGTGCTCTGTCTTCCTTCATCGCACTAAAATGCCCTACGTCTTTGAGCAGAATGGGAGAGGAAATTTCAGCCATGAAATAGTCTGCTTTGTTGGACCTTGGAGCTAGTAGCTTAAGCCCGCTGGTTCTATCTCAGAGACAGCAAACATGATTAAAAGAATAAAAATTGCAAAATGGTCCTTACCTGAGGCTCCAAAAAGGAGGATGAGAAGAGCGAGGTGACGAAAGGCTTTCATTTTAGATGTTCTTGCCAGGCAATCCAAGGAGGAAATGACTTCCCTCCAACAGTCTTCGGTTTTAACCCTCTTTTGGGTACAAAGTCCAGTCATTAACTGACGTCAATCAGCCAGAGGCAATTACTCCTTGGGGTTTGGTCATATACCATAGGTC